ATACAGTGGGCCCAAAGGGTCATAGGAAGACTTCTGATTGGTTGTTATGATGAAAATGGTCATACATTAAAAATGGGCTAAGGTCGAAAGTTGGTGTTTTCACCATTTCTCCAACTTTCATTTCGCCGTGACTGGCGGATGTTCTGTTAAAAAGCTAAATAATTTGAACGTGTCCGTTAAAATGCTCTTCGTCTTTGACGCAGGACGTTTCTTTTGACGCGGGATTGACGCATGTTGCGTTATTTGACGCGGAGTTGCGTCATTTGACCCGTAATTGGCGTCAAACTGACGCATCTCTGTGTCAATTTGACGCATCTCTGCGTCAAACTGAGGCAACTCCGCGTCAAACTGACACAACTCCGCGTCAATTTAATGCGGGCTTGCATGTCTTTGACGCGGGACAAAACCCGTGTACCCGTACATGTGTACCACTTCATCATTGTGATGAAAACATCGGAGTATGTGAATGAATGGAAGTTGGAGCTGTCCACTCGCCTCTCATTCCAATGAGAAATGCCCATTTCTTCAAAGAAGTTGTTTACACTGTGACCTTCGTATTGACTGCCATCTGAGTCCACAGAGCAAGTAACCGGATATTGAACAATGGATCTGATGGAATTCGACAAAGCTGGGGCACATAATGGCGATGATGCTATTATCCAAGCAAGACGCAACGACCTCATAAATGAGTTCAAAGCCCTTGATGAAATTCACCAACAGATATTTTGGTTTTATTACCTACACATCTTCACCGGCAAGGTAAAGGTGGAGATATTGAGCTCTGTGGGTCCGTCTTTCACTACAAAATTACGGCAGCTTGAACAGAGAAAATCTCCAAGCAATAATTCACCTACAGAGCAAAAAAGCTGAAACCACTTGTATTGAAATTTCAAGAATATAGTTTACGCCCAACAGGAGATGTCCCTATTTTCTTGTTCCATTGGATGGTGGAAGAAGACCTGATCGTGTAACGTTGGACACTCTCCGCTGGGTGCAACATCCGCGAAACCCTCAGCCAAGTGAGATGTGGTGATGACTAATAGTTTCTTGTTTGTAGGAGTTGTAAACTTTAAACGGAAGATGGTATTCAAAATAGAACCTATAATTTGACTTTTAAGTGCTACACGGCTAGTTTGATTCTTATTTGACGCGGCCATACTATCTCATGGGTTTGCCTACTGTTTTTGTGCCTGTGACTCCTTTCCGAAGCATCATCAGATAATATAAGAAGTAGGGTCGTCTTGGACATTCATTGGAGTATCTCCAAGGTTTGGCATCTCGAGCCCAGCCTCACTGTTTTGTTCATCAGCGGAATCCCCCAGATAGCCCCTGTACTGCTCAAACATCTTGTAGAAAACATATTTGAGAATGGATTTGGCAATATTGGGACTGACCTTTCTTTCATAGGCATACTTAGCCAGGGATCTGGCAACGTCTCCCATTCCTTTCAGGATCTTTCTGCTCTCCTTGTCTCGATTGTTCAGGAACTTATCGCATCCGGCATTCTTGTTGAACACCAAAGAACGAGGTATGACAGAAGATGTGTTAAGCCGTGTTGTGTAAAACTTTTCACTACCTTTGAACGTCATTCCAACATTGACTGAATTTTCACCAGAGTATCCAGCATTCCCTTTGGATAAGTCAACCCAACATCGCTTGTAATCACTAGTGGCATATTCTCCACATCGGAAAAGAAAGTCAGTTGATATTTAAGGGACCATGCCCCAAAATCAGCAGGGTGTGTCTTTTTGGGGCTTGGGTCGCCTCCCCTAGAATTGATGAAGGCGATATTTTCAGAGAGCCCATGTGATTATGAAGCATTCTATGATTTGTCACTTTGTTTGTCACTTGCGACCTCTGACATTCAACTTAACCATGTCCTACTTTCAGAGTACCCTTCTTATTAGGAACCTTCCCCTTTGTTTGTTGTTGTGTTTGTCACTTGTGACCTTTAAAACCCAAATGAACCATGCCATATTTCATCACCTCCTGATGATAAGCCATTGGTGTATGCTTTCTATTGCAACCTACTGCCACTAAATTCAACTTCAGTGGCCGCTATGATAGCAAACACCCACTTAACAATACACAAACCACTTCTTTGGATCCTGATGGATAAAGCTCTACATGAGTTGCCTGTAGATTCTATTTAGATCTAGATCTAGATCCAGAAATTAGGTGGCAGCTCTGAAAAGATTCAAGTTAGATGCAAATTCTGAAATAGCCCACCTATTGTTCTAACTTCATTCAATTTTTTTAGTCTATATTATATTTGTCACCAATATTGGTGTCTAAGAATGCTGGTTTGGCTGGAACGGGAGAATTCTTGGTGGAAATGCTCCAAGAACCAAATTCACTTGAGGTGGACTCGAAGAGATTTTTGGCTACATCAGGAATGTTTGCCAAATTGATCATCAAACTTATGTGAGTGCGGCGGAAACATTTCTACCTCAAGATACCCTATACCAATGTATCAGATACATCAATGAGCAAGAAATATTAGTTTAAATAAAGCAATTCAAAGCAATTTGGTCAACAATTTGGCCAGATCACTCCAGATCATGCTTTGGGGCAACAAACTTACATGTGATTCAAACTTCCCATTTGCTTAGGCGCCTTGATCTAGGATAGGCCGAATCTATTGATAGGTCCAGTAATCCTTTGTCCATTAGAGGCAGTAAAAGGGACTGGCAGGTTGTTGTTTGGGTTTCTGTCTCCATGGTGCCAGGAGGACCCGCCAAAACGGAGCAAACTCATAATATTACCAAACCAACTCATCATATTGGTCAAAATTTATATGCCAATGGTCGAATTCTTCTTCCGCTAACGACGCACTTGCTCAAAATATATGCAGAGATGAGATTGGTGTATTGTCGGTTTTTTTTGTGGCTTTCTGGGTCCACCAAGGCCAGTTTCCCAAGAGCAACAGATTCTGATGATAGGGCTTGAGTTTGAATTTGGCACCGGATAACGCCATTAGGCACCATCTTCCTGCATCTAGGGACGTCTTCACATACAAAGTTGATGATGTGTGTGCGCCCTAGACGGTGTCTATGGCTTTCTTACCGACAAAGTCGCTCATCATTAGACCAACACACAGTTTTTGTTACCATCGTCATCAGTAGAAATTTTTCGTTGTGCCCCATGTATTGTCGTTTGGCTTCCATATTGCCAGTTGGTGCAATGGGAACAGTTGGTTGTTGCGCCAGTCCATTGTTGCGCAAACTGTAGTTGATTGTCATGTTTGTGTTGTTTCTGTTTCTATTTTGGCTGTGTGGATTGATCTGCCATACATTTATCCCATCAAAAAGTTTCTCCGGATTGGGATTTTAGGATCTTCCATATATTTGCACCTGAAGCCTAGACGCTCTGTCGAAATGTACCACGATCCTGCACGTAGAATTCTACACGGTCAGAAGTGATCAAAACGTTTCTCCGATGAGCCCAGGACAGTACCAAAAACAACATTGAGAAAAGAAACTGCAAGCAGATGACATTACTGGTGAAGAATCTGACAGCGATGCAACTGAATAGAGTACAATTGGCAAAATGAGGTAAGCTCATCAAAGAGCAAATTCTCAGTACTATGATGCCGTTTGATGATTGCATGGCATCAACAAGAACAGGAGATTTTGCATTTTCATGTCCTTTTTCCTGCAGGTGGCGCCTTTGCCAATTTTTCTTTGCTGGTTATGGTAATCGTGATATTATTACATATGGCAGACATTGTGCATTTAAGCCACAAAATTGGGATTCGTTTGTTGAGACATGTCTCCCATTAAGAGTTACAAGTTTGTTAGTGTAGCTCCCTGCAAATCTACCAGGATCCTACTCAGTAGAAATAACGTAGATTGGACAAGTCTATAATAGTTTTGAGTCATTATGTTAAGTAAGCAATATGTTAAGTAAGGTTGTTCGTAATAGCAGGGCAAAAATCGCGCCAGGACGGATTCAAGCCCACCCTATGGTACATTTCTACAGAAAATACGTAGAATCATGCCTTCCTCCACCCTGCTCCTCCAACCCAATGCTACATGTATTTACTACTAGTGCCAAGTACATTTCCACTGAATCCAGCCTTGCCAGGGCAAAGATTTCACAGCGCACACATAATAAAAAAACTTGAGTATTTGAAAACAAGACAAGGAGCAAGAAGGCACCAAGCAAGGGGAAGGGCAATGAGACCAAGAAGAAGGCAGATTCAAACACTGCAACACTAGCAAAGCCTCCACCCAAACAACCCATGAGTTTTTTGTACTACTGGTATCAGAACGTCATTGTTGAACATTGGAGAAACAGCAGCATTTTTTGTTTATTTGCCAACAAATGAAGGGGAGTCTCGTAGACAGGAAAAGGTATACGGCAATGATTCAAGGGCGAGCAGTGAGGAGGACCTTGAATACAAAGAGGGTGAGTATTCATGTTTTGTGCTACTGTTGTGTGACAAAAGCCTTGATCTCACCTGCTTCTTTTGTCACTAAATATTATGGTGATGCAAGATGTCAATTTGGGTTGAGTATACTTTGTTTATTTGCCAACAAATGAAGGGGAGTGTCGGAGACAGGAAAAGGTGTATGACAATAGTTCAAGTGTGAGCAGTGATGAGGACCGTGAACACAAAGAAGGTACGTATTCATGTTTTGGTGCTACTGTTGTGTGACAAAAGCCTTGATCTCACCTGCTTCTTTTGTCACTAAATACTGTGGTGATGTAAACTGTCAATGTGGGTTGAGCAATGCTTTCAATGTCACAGATGAAGCATTTGCACTTTTGATGGTGGAGAACTATGTGGACAGATGTGAGGCACTGGCCAAAGAATAACCAAGCAGTGGCAACACTAACTGAACCACAAACGCTCTGAATAAAAGCGCAAAAAGGCAAGGCAACAAATTGTAACAGTATATGAGGATTCCTGAAAAGTAGATAGAACAAGTATTGTTTAGTTGATATTAATATATAGTCATTGTGATATTTCAATTGTTGTAGTGATCACATTAACACTTTGGGCATGTGACAATAGATGATGCTGGCAATGCAAAAATGACAGGGTGAAGGTGGTATTGAGACACTCAGTGCATGGTTGATGGTGGCTAGACCCTGTCCCAAAATGACAAGTAGTAGGTGATTTTTCACATGGCAAAGGTGACATTAGCACAGAGGCAAAAATAAATATGAAAAGGTTCCAGTCGAATGGCTGCGATAAAATCACATGGCCACGTGATATAAGTAGACCAAGCCATGTCCTAATGTGACATGAGCAAGCCGACCAATAGGACCAGACTTTCTTTTCCGATGGCCACCAGTGATAAGCAAACGCGCTCCTTGGTCTAGGTGCTCCTTTTCAATTTTTGGCTTCTTCTCCTTTTTGCTTGGCATTGTGGCTTTTGGGCTTATTCAGCTAGAAATTGTGAGCACTTTTGCCACTGTCCAACAGTTCCTGGGTTGTCGTGCCGTTCGTTGAATGTCCAGCTAGTAATTTGCGGGTTCAACCCAAGCTTTACACCGCTTGAAATGTGCAAGAAGAAGAGAAGAACAACTGTTTGGATCTCTGCAGCCTTGTTCAATAATTGCTCTTCAGCTGGTTTTGTCTCTGTATGATATTTTGTAACTTTGTGTGATATAATTTCGTGCCGACTGCAATGCCGTCAGTCCCAGGAAAGTTCAATTTGTGGGTTTGCATATCAGATACGTCTGGTGCGCGTTTCAAGCAAACCCGAGAATGCTGTTGGTTTAAAGTTACCTAAAAACTGAGAACCCAAAAAAGGTAAGTTCGCGCTCACAAATTTTGGTCTGATTCCTCCAGACTATAAACAATGCAGACTATAAACAATGCACCAAACACATATTAAACAATTAACGGACATTTCAATTGTGTGCGTTGCACGTTGTGGTGCGTTCCAGGGAACTTTTAGGGAACCTTTAGGGAAACTTTTAGGGAACTTTTGCGAAACAATATTCCCTCAAAAGACAAGCTATACAAATAAAAGAGAATTGCACTATAGTAGATGACGCTATTCAAAGGACGGCCATTCTCAATATTGTATTGAATCAAAACAAGAAAGTCAGTGTAAACGACTTCATGCTTGTCCATAGTATAACAAAAACGAGTTCCAATAGTGTCAAAACGTTTCAATCTCTTGTTGAAGTTCTCCTGCCACCAAGTTCTAGCCCAAATCTTGAACTCGAGAGCTTTGGGGCTTTCGGTTACTTGAATAATAGATGTGACCATCCAGTGAGCGAAGACAAAGACCTTGTTCTAAACAAGACTTTTTGGCCAAATGTACGCCATTGTCCATCTGCTAGTAGACATGGTTTGGGTCCATGTGTTCGGTGATGTCTCTCCAGCACTGTCCTTGATAGGTTTCTTGGGCTCTTTTTTTGCATCGCTGGTTCTCCAATTCTTCAACTACTATTGTCCAGCATTATCAGTCGCTCCAGTATTCATTGTAGGCTATCGACAGTGAAGAGTGCCCTTGTTGATAGAATTGGATTGTCCAAATCTGATGCCAATGGCATAATAATAATTCACAATTTCTTTGCAAGATGGGAAAGCAGGGATAGCATTTGGGGAGTTTCAATTATTCTCCAAAAATTCTGTAAAAAATTCTCTCAAGGTTACCTAAAAGTTACCTAAAAGTTCCCTGAAAGTTCCCTAAAAATTCCCTTTTTCCCCCGGGATTTCCAGGATATCCCCGTGTGAAAACAGTTTTCAGTTTTACCGCGTCATCAATAATTAGCGCGCGTTTCACAACCTATAGTCGGGTTTGGCGGTTTCAGTTTTGCTAAATGCCTGGATTTGCCACACGGTCCTGACAACGCAAAATGCGCGCCCGAAATGTGTCCGTTAACATTTTTGTAGAACGATTTGTTCGTGTAAAATCTTACGTGGGCCGTGTAATTTGGCTTTAACGCGGGGATGTGTGAGCTTGACATGTGAGTTTGCCACGGGTGGCAACGAAGACCATATGTCTCCAAAATGCCCAGACAGACTGTTACCAAAGATCCAATGGAAGAATCAGGATCAATATGTCAACTATGGGAAGAAGCTCAATCTTAATCAGATTGGAGCAACTGTTCCACCTACTGTTCCAGCTATAGTTCCTGGAGCTTCAGCATCCACAAGTGGAGCATCAAGTGTTGCGGGAAGCGTTAACACACCTTTGCGACTTGCTGGTACTCAAATTATGCAAGTTCCTTCTGGAATGCAGCTCATGCAGATTCCAACTTAAGGTGGCAGCAGTGGTGCTCAAGTGCGCCAAGGATTTGATGCAACTCAAGCTCAAACTCCGCAAGCTGTGAAAACTGGATACTTTGATACGTCAAATGTCTTTCACAATGCTATCAAGGGAAAGGATGAGAATGGCAATAATGTCTATCTTATCCCATGTCCTGCTGGTACAACAAATGTCAAACTTCAAGCCGACTGGCACTATGCTAGTGAAGATGAAGATTTGCCTGATCTTGCTACTGAAGCAGATCGAGGTCTGCAGTTTATTCAAAACCGCAGAAAACAAAAGGGCATGGGAGAAGAAGTATGGGCCATTTCACAGCATAACACCGCCTAGCCTCTTTCCTATAGGTCTAATTTAGCTAGTTGACTGTTGTTGGGTGGTGATACTGGCCCATGTCAGTTTTGCCGAGCGAAAAACCAAAAATGATAGGTAGAAGGGCCACAGAAACGCCTGCGTGGAGGGCGCATTACTCAATATAAAACTCGTTCCACACCGTCAGTGTCACCATTAGTATCCCAAGAAGCCATTCGACTGTTGTTGGGTGGTGATACTGGCCCATGTCAGTTTTGCCGAGCGAAAAACCAAAAATGATAGGTAGAAGGGCCACAGAAACGCCTGCGTGGAGGGCGCATTACTCAATATAAAACTCGTTCCACACCGTCAGTGTCACCATTAGTATCCCAAGAAGCCATTCGACTGTTGTTGGGTGGTGATACTGGCCCATGTCAGTTTTGCCGAGCGAAAAACCAAAAATGATAGGTAGAAGGGCCACAGAAACGCCTGCGTGGAGGGCGCATTACTCAATATAAAACTCGTTCCACACCGTCAGTGTCACCATTAGTATCCCAAGAAGCCATTCGACTGTTGTTGGGTGGTGATACTGGCCCATGTCAGTTTTGCCGAGCGAAAAACCAAAAATGATAGGTAGAAGGGCCACAGAAACGCCTGCGTGGAGGGCGCATTACTCAATATAAAACTCGTTCCACACCGTCAGTGTCACCATTAGTATCCCAAGAAGCCATTCGACTGTTGTTGGGTGGTGATACTGGCCCATGTCAGTTTTGCCGAGCGAAAAACCAAAAATGATAGGTAGAAGGGCCACAGAAACGCCTGCGTGGAGGGCGCATTACTCAATATAAAACTCGTTCCACACCGTCAGTGTCACCATTAGTATCCCAAGAAGCCATTAGGCTGTTTTTTGTATGCCACTTGAGACCTTTTGGTTCTTTTACTGGAACTACAGCTGTAACTATAGATTCTGGTATTTTTCTACATGAGCCAAAATTGGTTCCACCGTCACCCTAATTGTTGGTGTCAGTGGCCTCATGTAGTCCCTTTTGCTGTTAACACTGTTTATGAGATCTTTTTGCCGTTGGTTTGGGCTGTAAACCCATGTGGGTTCTCCAAAGTGGTGGTGGTGGATTGAAATGCAGTGGGTAAATGGAGCAGGCATTGGTGTTGTGTAGAAGAGGGCTTATGGTAAGTACAATAGGATAGAGGGCTTCATTGTGATAGTATTGAAGAAGGACACCACATGGGATGAACATTGCATATCTATTTTGTGGTGGGGATTTATTGTTGCGAGGAGTCTCGCATGCAAGTTCTATAATATTTGGACACAAAAAGATCGTCCATTGGATGACTGAAGTTCACGAAAAGAAAGGCAGAAAAATCTTTCAAAGAATCGCAAAATAGGTCGTTCATTGGTACATGCAGACGATACAACACAAAAAGAGTGTCCATTGGGCGAACGAAAAACGAAAAACGAAAAACGAAAAGAAAGAATAAGCAAGGAAAATCAAAGGATCTTCACAATGCATAGTATGCCAAAATGGGGCGCCCATTGGTACCTATGCCCATACGATATGAAAGTGTTGGTGGTGGATTGTAAACCATGATTAGTGCCTACTTCCGAATCTACTTCTGGCCAAGCTTGAGGTTGCACAATCTAATCTAATACTACTAGCCATGAATCGTCATAGCTTCCGCACAGAGCTATATCTAACTTACTTGCTATCTTACAAACCTAGCAAAATAATATCTCATTCTGGATCTGCTCCCGGTGGTCAAACTTGAGTGATCATACTAGCTTTGAATCATCATAACCTACTCACGATGAATCATTAGTTGCTACAAACGAATTAACATGGAAATTACTTGCCATCCTACAAATGAACTCATCTGAGGCCGAACATGGGTGGTCCAATTGGTCAGCGGAGGGTAACTCCAGAAAGGGTTTGAGTCCAATTGGTCAGCGGAGGGTAGTTCCAGAAAGGGTACTCAAGGTCTGGACGCCATCCGACATTTCGAATCTCAAAAAACACAAGTCCAAATCCAGTGCAAAGTACAAAATACTTCCTCCTTTCCGTCATGAAATAGGTCACCCACCACATCCAAAATTACCCAGAAACTCAGCACCAAAGGCTCTCAAGGTTCTCCGAAACACACTATGCACTACAACTAGTACAAAACAAACTAGCAAGTCAAAGTCCTCCCCATGTCTCGTTGCCATTGAACCCTCCTCCATCTCCGTATATCTGTCTCCTGTCTCCTGTCTTGTTGTAGGTTGATTGCTGTTTACCGACCCGGATGTAGGTTTCCGGAAGGCAATAAGGCACATACCTAGAGAGGTATGTGCTTTTCTTCTTCCCTCCGAGGAGGCTTGAAGTGGGGGGTGTTGTTGTATTGTTTGCAGTGGGGTTGTTTTACTGCGAGGAGCAGTAATGGGGGGGGAGATAAGGCAATAACAGGCAAACATGAAATGTAATATTTCAGCTTACATGCCATCCCACAAATCAAGGAACAGAGGCTGAACCTCAGCAGATCGTAGCACAAAGGCTACTCTCATGCTTACAGTACCACGTTCCAATTAAGTCGTCTACAGAGGATTTAACTCGACCAACATTCGGTAATACTTTGAAATAG